TGCTTTAATATATATTAATTTATATTTGTCCTGATATTTTTGTATTTTCAGTTGTTTTTTTAAAGAGAGAGAGGAAAACTTAAAATCAGGATATTTGCAATAGGACTAATATAGCAGATTCTCACGGGATAAATAGATTTGATCTGGGTTAATATTTTTTACGGTAGCACCTGCCAGCTGGTGTCCGTCCTAGGACCGGAAGCTGCAAACAATCTGATTATTATTTTCATTATAGCAAGGAAAGATGACATCTCTCGAGTCTTTGTAATATATGAGGAAATTGTCTTTACAAATAGGTGGCAAATGTTATAGGTGTGATTCTCCCCTTCTCTCCCACCAAGTATACGCTACTTTTCAGAAAATGAAATTATGTGTTGAAAATGACACTAGAGGATAGATATTTTCAAACTAATGTTCCCTTGGAGTTTCATACCTTTAAAACGAATAAAAGAGGCTGTATTACCATTTCCCCCATTATTAAAACTACTTTAAATGCCCAAATATTTTCCTTTGTTAACATGTTGCTGCTAAGTTTAATATAGAATTGGAATAATTCTTTATAATGAGTTGTTCTTCTTTTTTTAGTAAATCATGGGGTACCCTGTAAAAAAGGGGGGTTTAATTTCTTTTATACAAGGAAAAGATAGTTGTACATGTGTAATATGGTGTTGCTTTGTCTAATTTGGACCGGTATCAGTATCTTTACTGATGTTTGTAAATTAAACAGATCTTTACCTCAGTTCCACTTCTTGTATTTCTCAAAGGAGTTTAACGTCCTTTGGCAGATCAACTTTTATTTCGGATATTAAGTTGAGTTTCTCTTGGGAGAGAACTGCAAAAGCTATATTCTAATACCAAATGTACAACAATCAGTTGTTATAGCATATTGCAATCTGTTATATTTTAAGTTTTTGTGTGTAGAAAACACAACTTGTTTCTCAGATTTGGCAACTTCAGCTCCCAGAATTCCCCAGCCAGCTTATTGAAGTCTGCATCTCTTAAAGTTGCCATGTAGGTAGCTGGCTTAATGAGGTAAAGAGTGGAGATGCTCCGATAGAAGAAAAGCAGAAAGGAAGGACTCAAAAGTGCATTTTTCATGAGGAACTGGACTTTCTTTGTTTTTCCTCGAAGATGTTTCGCTTCTCATCCAAGAAGCCTCTTCAGTTTGGACTGCATATGTTTGGGGTTAGTCATCTGAGCGTTAACCTTCTATTCCCCACCATTCAGTCAGAACTGAAGAAGCTTCTTGGATGAGAAGTGAAACGTCTTCAAGGAAAAACAGAGAAAGTCCAGTTGCCTCTTGAACAAAAAAACACCTTTGGGACAGCCACGGCCCGGATGATGGAGAATCTCCATCATGGAAACATTCAAGAAAGAATAAGCTGAGGGAGAAGTAAGTAAGTAAGTAAGTAAAAGGGACAAGGTGCCGGGAAGACTCATGGGCAAGAAGAAGAAGTCTGAGGAACTTGGGAGTGAAACATCCCATTTTCAGCTTCCTAAGAAGTGATCCCAGATATCTTAGCTCTTTTTAATATTGAGCGCAGTAGTTAGAATGAGCATTGCATGGAAACTGCCCACTATCAGCAGTTCGATCCTGACCAGTTTGAGATTGACTCAGCCTTCCGTCCTTCTGAGGTGGGTAAAATGGGGACCTAGATTGTTGGGGGCAAGAGGCTGACTCTGTAAAACCGCTTAGAGGGGGCTGGAAAGCAATATAAAGCGGAATATAAGTGCTATTGCTACTGCTCATACTGAGCGGGACAGCATTTTCAGTCTTTTTGAGAAATATTGGACAATTAAAATGTGTGGTGGAATGGAGAGGTTTTCAAAAGGATCCAAAGGGTGGAATTGAACAAAACAGAAAGGATACAATAAATAAGATGAAGAATGAGATATCAAAATATCCGTGCGGAGAGAATTCAATCCCTTTCAAGGCCCTGCATTAGTTCTACAAACTTCTGATTAATTCTGCTTTGGTGCCAGTTTGATAGCTTGAAGAACAGAAGGATCAGGCCTCTGCTTTTTATAACCTAACATGAAAATAACCCTGTAGCTTTCTGTTCTTTTTCATCCGGATTGCATTGCCTGCTCAGGCACGCTGGAGCTTCACCAGAGAATAAATTCTGCCTGATTTCATAGTCCATATTTATGTGTGTTAAAAAATAATAGCACATCCCTCTATCCTTTGGGGACGGGATGTGAAGAAATGAGATCTCTTTGATGGCTGCTATAAAAGCAGAGTTCGTATTCGCAAGCATTCATCATGCCAACAGATTGAACGTTAGAAGTTGGAACGTTAAGATGTCAAATTATCTGAAGTTTCCGATCGAATAATTCTATTGTTTCTAGGCCAGGATAATTCTGTGCAGGTCAGAAACTACTCTGTGGAAGTGACTGGATTATAAGGCAAATGACACGACGAGTGAAGGGTGCAATGATATAATTGAGGAAGAGTATATCACTTGTTAAGTTTGTTTAATGACCAAAGTTACAACAGCATTGGTCCTTTGCCAATTGAGCCCGCCATATTGGCTTACCATATTATGCATCCCTGGGTGGGTCGTATAATCCCCTTTTGTGACTTTTCTGACCAGCAAGGTCAACGGGGAAGACAGATTTCACTTAACAACCGTGTGACTAATTTAAGGGCTGACGGGATTCACTTAACAACAATAGCAAGGGAAATCGTAACAGTCACTTGACAAAAGAAATGGTAGCAACACTAATGCTGGGCTCAATTGTAGTCATAAGTGGAGGACTACCTGTAGCCTGAGTTACACCTGAGAAGCAACCCAGAGCTTAGTGTGTGTTACTTCAAGCCATCAATTCCGAAATGTAAGATACTTCTCTAAGACAAAGCCTGGAGAAAGAAGGACTTCATGGAAACCATCTCCTCTTAATGAATTGACCAAAATATCTTCCATGCCTTGGTTGACTGCTCTCCAGGGCAATATAAACCAGGGGTCTCCAACCTTGGCCCCTTTAAGACTTGTGGGCTTCAACTCCCAGAGTTCCTCAGCCAATCTTGGCCCCTTTAAGACTTGTGGACTTAAAGTCTTAAAAGGGCCAAGGTTGGAGACCCCTGATATAAACACATTAAGCCACTCTTTGATCTTACACCTTTCTCCAGAAACTTTAAATCAATTATCCATGAAGTTTCTCAGCTTCTCCCTCTTTACAGTAGTCCATACAACTATTTTTACTGCGCCCGACACATTATAGACACACATGTGCAGATGGCAAAGGGGCTGAGAGATTTGCCATAAAAAAACAGACTTGACAACCAAGAAACCAAAAAAAATATTTAAAAATCGTAATAAAGACATTAATGAGGGGTTACTTTATTATTATTTCCTTCAAAACACAGTTTGCATCCATTCCAAGATGGAGAGGAGCAATCCACATAAGTTCAACAAAAAAATATTGTATAAGAAACAAGAATTCATGGAGGAAATGACAGCTGTTGCATTAAGTGTGAGGTGTTTTTTTTTTTAACATAATACTTTTATTTTTTTAAATTTTATGTAACATGCCTTATTTTAATTGTTTTAATTTGTGCTTCTGACACAAATAAACAAGCTACTATATATGAATATAACATTTGCAGTATGCAGCGATGAATTCTGGGTGACGTTGAAGGCACCTTTGCAAGTTGGAGAGACAAGCAGTTTACTAAAGAAAGTAATGTAAGCGCCACAGGATGCCACCTTACCCCCCCCCCCAATACTGATTCTCCCAATATCTGCTTCTGTCACTCACAATGTCACATATTTATACCACCCGTTTTAGATAAAGTACTTGTGATCGCTCGGGGTTCTGTTGCTTATTTTTCAACATGATTTGGAGCAGGGCGTTCAGGAGGCATTGATAAAGTCATCACACAACAGAAAACACAGAGGGGTGGATGGATAATTCTTTCAGAGTGGTGTGTGTATATGTGTGTGTGTGTGTGTGTAGAAAACCATGGCCCCTTTTTATTTTTTATTTTATTTTTTTATTTTTTATTGAACATATACACAGAAAAGAAAGACATTTAAAAACAATGAATGTGGTGCAATCATCCTAACACACTTGTCTTAACATCGCTAATTCATATAAAAATTGTACATATTTACATTTTATTTGCATAGTATATATTCATAAACCTTAATCATTTCTTACATTCTGGATGCTTCCTTTTTTCCAACCAGTGATAAAACTTCTCCCATATTTTGTAATAATTAGATTTATCCTTATTTTTTAGTTCTTGTGTCAGTTTATCCATTTCTGCTTACATCCAAATGTTCCTAATTATTTCTATTTCGCCTGGAGCTTCCTTGCATTTCCATTTTTGGGCATAAACTAATCGTGCAGCCATGATTACCTGGATTATTAAATATGATATCTCTATTGTATTTTCCCACATTAATTCCTAATAAGAAAAATCCGGGTCCATATTCTATTTTGATTTTGCACATCTCTTCTAACTGTGGCCCCTTTAAGACCTATGGACTTCAACTCCCAGAATTCCTGAGCCAGCCATGGGAATTCTGGGAGCTCCAGAGTTGGAATCCCCAGGGATTCTGGGAGTTGAAGTCCACAAGTCTTAAAAGTTTGTCAAGCTTGGAGGCCTCTGTTCTATGAAATAGCCGTTGGAAAGTTCTCTCTATGGCAGGGGTTTCCAACCTTGGCCGCTTTAAGTCTGGAGGTCTTCAACTCCCAGCTGGCTGGGGAATTCTGGGAGTTGAAATCCTCCAGGCTTAAAATGCTGCTGTTGCTGCGTGCAAAATACAAAACCCCGCATGGATCGGAGGAGAAGGCGATAGGATTGCACCTCCTTGCAAACCCCCATCTCCCAGGCTGAACGGGCTTCTGTTTCAGGCACCGTGAAGAGGGGCGGACTCCACTTCCCAGAATTCCTCCAACCGGCACGGCTGGCTGAGGGATTCTGGGAGTTGAAGTCCGGCTCCGCTGAGGTTGACGCAGACACTGCCGCCGACCTCAAGAGGGCGCCGGCCATCCCAAAGCGCCGGACGCGTTTGAGGGCGACACTTGGCCTCGCCGCCACGCCGTAGTTCCCATAGCAACGGCAGGGCCGCCACGGCCTACCTCGTTTTGCGCGACGGGCTTTTCCTGCCCGGTGGCCCGCCGGAGGGAAAACGGGCGGCCCGCTGCAGCCCAGGAGTCCCGACGCGGTATTTCAGGCAGGGCTACCCGCCCGCAGAGCATGTGCAGACGGCTTTTCCCCGAATCCCTCGGGAGTGCGGGGCCGGGGTGGGGGGGGGCGACAGTCGCCTCCTGGGATTTCCTGGTGGTTTCCCATTTCGCCTATCACAGAAGTCGTGTTTGTGGGGGGCTCCAGTGATCTTCTGATGGCCCCCCTAACCTTTGGCAGGCCAAATTTCACCCCTGGGGAGGCTAGTTGAATGCATCCCTGCCTTCCTGTTGCCTTGTGCCATGGGATCTCCTGGTGGCCTCCTGTCCATAGACAAAGCCTATATCATTTTTTTTAAAAAAAACTGGAAAGCCAATGTTGCTTCGTGTTGCCTTCTTCTTGGGATCTCCTGGTGGCCTCCTGTCCATAGACCAAACCCAGGCCAGGGTGTTTTTTTTAAAGCCAAAAAGCTAAAATTGCTTCGCGTTGCCTCCCGCTTGGTATCTCCTGGTGGTCCCCTGTCCATTGGCCAAGCCTAGGCCTTTTTTTTTTTTAAGCCAAAACGCCACAGTCGCTTTGAATGGCCTGGGATCTCCTGGTGGCTCCATATCCTTAAACCAACCGGGTGGGGCATTCCTTTTTCCTCAGCTCCCAGGGCTGAAATATAGGCTGCCTGTCGCCTTCTGCCTTTAGGTCTCCGAGATTGAGCTGTCCTTCCCCGTTCCCTTCTTGCCTGGGATCTCTTAGTGGTCTCCCATCCAAGCCTTTACCACTGGTCTCTTGGAGCTGATCTCACTGGAAGTTGGTGGGGGGCGGTCCATCCCCTAGCCTCTTTCCCCCCCCCCCCCCCCCGCCTGTAGCCATGAATGACCCCTCCCAAGCCCTGGACTGACCACAACAAAGCCCAGAAGCCTGAGCCGTCGAGCCCCCCCTTAGCCTCCTCTGGCCCCCCTCCCCTCTGCTCCTTTGCAGACGCCTGTTTGGTGCAACACAATGAGGGCCCCCTCCTCCCCTTAGGACGCTCCCCCACGAAGGGATGCATCGGACCAAGAAAGCCGAAGGCGCCAGAAAAACAGCAACTGGTACTTGCAAAATTCTCTTCTTCTTCCTCCTCCTCTCTCTTCTCTTTCCTCTTTTTTTTTTTTTTTTTTTTTAACGAAAAGGGGTCCTGAATTCTCTCTTTTTTTTTTTTTTTTCTTCCCGGGCATTTCCTTCTCGGTATTCGGGGCAGGCAACGTGGGGCAGAGATCGTCTACAGGCCGTGGAACGAGAGAGCAAAGCGAGAGCCAGGAGAGGAAGACCTGCTCAGCTCCTTCGGCGTCTCAGACTTTGGCCCTGAAGCCGCAGCCACGGCCGAGTGACCGTCTTAACCCCAAAACTATTGACCCGGTAGGTGCAGCACTGGGCCGGGGAGCCCTTCTTCACCTCCTTGCCTCAAGCAGCTCCAGGCTGAGGAACCATTGCCTTGAAATGTTTAGAAAGGGCCCATCAGCTGGCAAAGCCACATCTCGTTGCAAGGGATTGCATTTATTCACTGCTACCACCCCAGACTGCGCTGTCCCTTTCCAACATCCCCCTGTTTGTGAAACCTTGCAAGCTGTGAATGGACGTAATTCACAGCCGTGGAAATAAAAGAGGTTTTGCCAGGACTGAGATGGTGTTTTGTGCTTTCTAAGGAAGCAGAACGACATCCTCATCCTCATCATCAAGTGAAATTGCCCAGGCCACCTGCCTCCAGGAAACTGTGTTGCTTCTCTCATTTGCTCACCTGAATTTGGGACGGTCCCTGCTAAGTCCTACTTCAGGGCAGGGACTTTCAAGGAGTTTCCAGCACTAATGACAAGACGGGATGTCCTCTGTGGAAATTGACCGCAAGGACAGCAACAAATTTCTCTTCGGGCATCAGATCTGGTTGAGCCTTGGAGCTGTCCAGCCTTCCCACCTGCTGTCCACGAAGCCTCTTTGGCCCTTTGCGTGATAACTGCCATTCCTTTCAAAAGCTTTTTTAGCGTCTCTGATCCTGGGGCTTAGTTGCCTGTTCTGCAATTTGTAGGGATGATTCTGACTCTCCTATCACTTTAGTGTGGCCCTGGGAAGATGTGAGGCTTTATCCCACCCCAAAGCCGACATGAGAACTGGAGAGAGTGATTAGTTTTTCCTACGGGGGAAACCCAACAATGACAGCTAAGTGCACTTTGAAAAGGAATCTTTTCTAAGCTGACCTGGATTTAGAGTGATTAAACATGATAATGTTTTTTTTTAGCAATCTCCAGATCTTTTGAATATATCCAAATAAATGCTCTAAGAGACAGAAAACTCCTATTTCATGTGCGCAAGATTTTTTAGAAATACATTATAGGCAGCCTGGAGATTTCATAAATCCCTTTGTATTATCAGTTCTTTTTATCTCGGCTGAAAGATTCCCAGTATTTCTAGTTTATTGTATTTTTCCTCCCTCTTTCTCTTAATAGTCCATGGATTATTTTTCAGTCTCTTCCTTTATTTTGCTTTCAAAACTAATGTGCATATTTTTGTATATTTTTAAAACATATTTTATTTATATGTGCCCATTTGCTACCCTTTCATTTTTTAAAATCTCAATTTGATAAGGAGCAATACTTAGTCCACCATTTGGTTCTAAAACTCTGGAGAAGGTTTTGCATGAAGCCATCCAACTCTGGTTGACAGCTGGCTGCTGTTCCTTGCTCTAAGCAGTCTTAGCAACAAGTTTGGTTTGGGTCATATGTATTAATAATTAGTAAGATACATATTATCTTATTAATGTAAACTCCAACTGGTAAAAGTTTGCCTCTTCATGTTCTTTAGGTCAAGAAGAAAATTCACATAATCTTTTGTCAGCTGAAAGTTTTTGGCATGTGCACTCTTTCTGATTTAAATCTTCATTCTGAATATACATTTATGTTTATGTTTTTGTAATAATATATCCTCAAAATATGACATATCTGCTGTAAAATTTAAGCACCTTCAAGTGCCATTGGAAGGATGTAAATTCAGTAGAATTTAGGAAAGCTATGTCTTGCTGGGGCATATCTGTATTAGAATAACAATATGCTGACCATATTATTTCTTTTTGTTCTAGTTCAATATTCAGTCAAGAGTACCTTCCACCTTTGCAGCCATTTATTCTAAAGGGGGCATCCCTTGCAGGTAATATCAGGGACCTGGGTGGGCAAATTAAATTTATGGAAGCACTAAATGTTGAATCAAATGAATATTGCTTAATTCACATATTAGCATTTTAAAGTGCTTTCCACTTTCATTTACAATTAAATAGGCTTTGAATTGTACTGCGTGTAGATTAAAAGAACAATAATTCAAATATAATATGACCAAGAAAAGTTAATTTTCCTTGTTTCTGGGAATGCATAGTGCTTAAACATTTTTCCAGAAACAAAACTTTTTTTAAAAAGCTTTTTTTAGTTTTTCTGGTGGCTGAATTACAGTGCTGCTGTATTCACATTATGTCTTGGGGCTGCTTCTGAATTGTATACATTTTAAAGTAGTTGTTACATTTTTGCCTCAATCCATAAAACTCACATATTGTACTTGTGATTCTTCCCTTCAAACTTGAAAATATCAATTTAGGCCCTTGTAGAAACGTTACTTAATTTTTAAATTCTATTTGGAGTGATTAAATTTACTGCCAAAGGCAAAATTGCCTTTCATGCTAACATGAAAAGAAAGAGGCATGTACATCTCCAATGTTATTAACCAAATAGTGAAGATATTCTTGTTGGATAATACCTTGAATTTCCATCTTAAAATGTTTGCATTTAATAACACTGCTAGAAATGTGATAGTTCTATTCCTTCCCTGATTGACAGTGGTGGAAGATGTACAGTGTTTTGGTTTTTTTTTAAAAAAAAAATACCATACTTAATAAAGAAAAAAATAATCCTTCTATCTGTGAAGTTGTAAGAACTGAAACTGGTAAGGTAGAAATCAGTTGGTGGGCCAGACCGAATGGTTTTGCAAATACGGAACAAACGTTTACAACTCTTAGAACCAGAAAACAATTATTAGAAGTTTATTTGTTACCACCCCTTCCCACCGCAAAAGTGGTAATTTCTGCTTTCTGCAATTGGCAAGACTTTATGGATTTAAGAGTGTCTTCTTAAACCCTCAATCCATCCAGGGTGAGTCTGTGAAACTTTGAGCTAAATCTTTGAATGCGGAGTTGAGTTGGTAAAAACTCCAGAAAAGTCCAGGGTTTTGACAGGAGCTCCTTTAAGTGTGCAGTACACTGATTTCTAACATGTTGACAGGCACTTAAGACCACCCTTTTTCAATAGTCCTCAGGATGTTAATGGTGTTGGTTGAGAGCCCATGAAACAGGATAATTTGTATGATTTTGCTAAAATAAAATGTGCTAGTTTTGTAAAAGGTATTTTAAAATTTTTGACATTAAGTGAAAAATAGAGGAAGACACGCACATTCTCTCTGTGTGCCTGTCTCTCTCTCTCTCTCTCTCTGCTTTTGTGTCAGTGTTGACCCTTGGACAAACCCGTTATTTATATTTCCAGTGCTTTGTTTTATTTTAGATTAGTCCATGGCTCCATAAGGCACACATTGCAGTGGGACAGTCATCCTGCAACACTTCAGTTTGACCCTCTTCTTATTAATTTAGCAGAGGTAAACCGTTTTGGGGGAATATCAGCTTTTTAAGTCTGGGAGAGAATTCCTACAATTTGTATTTTCTTGTTGACTCTGTTCAAAAAAAAAGGGGAAGCTGGAATTTTCTTAAAAGTGATGTATTACAACCCTCCTTTAAAAAAAAACACTAGAAAAATGAAAAGTTACAATTTTATGAAGAACACTGAAAGCCCAGTGCCAGTTTTGTCAAATAAATATATGCATGAAAGAAGATAGCATAAGAAGTGGTCGGCTTTGTCCATGTAATTCTTCTACTGCTTGTCTAGAGGTGGCCATGGGATCAGAGTTTGGGGGAAGCGGAGAAATCTAGAATGTTTTAGGGTAGTAAGGCTTGTAAAAATGAACCGATCGCCAAACTTTGAATCTTTGGTCTCCATCAGTGTTCCTCAGTACCAGGGAACTTATTAAGATGTCTGGACTGGCTGGGGAGTTCGAAGAATTGAAGTCCATGCAGCTTAAAATTTCTGAGGCTAGGAAACATTGGGTTGGATTGCTTTCTTGAAAAAATAAAGGCATTGTATCCTGCCACAACTACACGAATTTTCATATAAAGACATTCCATGCACACCATTGCAAGTTGCGAATCGTTCATTGCCTAGTATAGAAAAGTAATTAATTTACATTGCAAGTGCTTATTGCTTTAGAAAGTTTAGAATTGAAACAGTTGGGTAACTTTATTGGTCCTCTCCCTCTACTACGTTCATGCTATATGTAATTTACTTTTGTACACCCTCCAGCCTCTTTCTAACCTTTCTTCTTAGGGTTAGGGTTAATTTTGAACTTACCAGACGGGAATATTCTGACTTTGCAAAAAAAAAAAAAAAAAAAAACCACCTTACTTGGAACTGCCTATATATACTCAGATGTTACCTTAACAGCTGTGAGGTCCTTGGTTAAGACTTGAGCTGTTTTTACCAATCCCAGGCTGTGAATCGAATTGGAGGTGAAATCTTGAGTAGTAATTAGTTCAGAACGAGAACTTTTGTTCTCAGAGCAGTACTTACCAAGGCATGCAACTAGCACTGATTACAGTACTTTCTGAACAAGGGTGTTTGAAAAAGAGAGCCAGAAATTAAACCAGCAAGAATACACAGAGTTTTCTTTAAATCACTGGAGGCTTTTAAGAAGAGACTGGACAACCATTTGTCTGGAATGGTATCGGGTCTCCTGCTGGCGCATGGGTTGGACTAGAAGACCTCCCAAGTTCCCTTCTATTAGTCTATGTTCTATCTAAAATATGATATTAAAAAAGGGGGAAAGTGCCTGGCTACTGTGCTAAAGGGAGAATCCCCTTGTTGAACGTGGCAATGCTAGATAGACCCAGAAGGGGGCAAACAAACCTTTGAGATGGGAGGAAACTCCTGAATTCTTCCCCAGGATATTTTGGGGGGGGGGGGGTTTCGCAGGCGGAGGGAGCTGGGTGCATTAACGTGGCGTTGTGTGACTCCCCGCAGGGGCTGAAAGAAACGAGGCACCCCTACACATTCATCTCCCAGGAGGGCTTCAAAGAGCTGCTCTCAGTCGAAGGCGCTGCCCAGAAAACCCTCCCGTTGCTTCCTCGGCTCGTTCCGGTGTTAAAAAGTGCTCTGGTGAGGTCTCTGTGGCTGGAGGGCACAATCACAGGTGGCGCTGGCCTTGTCTACCTTCTGGAACTTGCTCTGCTACACCCCCAGATCAGTGATTCTCAGCTTTGACAACTTGAAGATGGGGGGGTTAGGGGCTTCAACTCCCAGAATTCCCCAGCTGGCCCACATCTTCAAGTTGTCGAAGCTGAGAAGCCACTGCTTAAGAAACCGTACCTTAGGCCATAGACATTGTGCTTGAGTCACTGTTTCTTTAGCCCATTCTGGAGAAAGTCCTTCCAGGAAGCGCCAGGTTGAGCTTTAAAAATGTCATGAAAAAAGAGGACTCAACTTGCGGGCAAAACATTTCATCCTCCAACTGAAATATTTGTTTTGCCTCCTGTTTTATCTTCTGAGAAAAGTGAGCTGAAGGTTGACAGGAAACACCCAGGGGAAGAGGGATGCCTGCAGTGACTCTCAGCTTATGGGTTTTCCGTAGATGTAATTAAACGGCAGGCGTGGTGGATGGTTTCCCTAAATCGTTTCAGGTTGGGTCACAGCAAGTTTTTATTCGTGACAACTCCTTTTAAGAAGTCCTGTTATGGATTTAGGAATGATGGCCACCTATTAGCACTGCATTCTTCCTCCCCAGAAGAAAATATTTACAATGAAGTTCAGTTGTTTTAAGCATCTGCGATTGTAGTTTTCTCCCCC